TTATTATTATTATTATTATTATATATATATATATATATATATATATATATCAGTATAATTCATGAAACAAACTTGTGTCTGATTGATTCACAGCTGTTCTGCATCATCTTTTGTTGGTGTTTTGCATGAATGGTAATGGTGATTGTGACAACCCTTTTGGTTATATTTGTGAGTGTGGTGTTGAAGGTTGGCTATGACACCATTTCATGTTACTGGCTGACTCCAATGCGCATAAGGAAGATGATGAAGAAACAAGGTGTGGTTGGTCCTAAACCCAGTTTTCTCATTGGCAACATCACAGAAATGACATCTCTTGTTTCAAGAGCAGTTTCTCAAGACATGAAAACTATCAGCCATGATATTGTTGCTCGTATTTTGCCACATTTTGTTGTCTGGTCCAACCAATATGGTATGTCTCTTTCACCAACACACGCACACAATTTATCCATGTCAAATTTTATTATGCACACTCTCATGCTTGTAATTTTGTATTGGAATGAAAATGAAATTTCAAGTATTGTATACACTCAATCAGAGGTAATTCTGTAGAGAGTGTAAAATCTATATAAAATTGGATCTCACCTATTTTATATAGATCAAAATTATTGGAGTAAGGCTAAATTCAGATTCCTATTTTCTAAGAGAATTTAGCTCGGATTTTCAAACATTCAAATCCAAATAATTGAATGGAATCCAAATTTATATTTTCGGAAAAAAATAATATTTATAAATTCATTAAAATTTATTTTAAAAGTCATTTTTTTTTTCAAATATGATTTTCATGTGTGAAATATTTTAAATAAAGGTTAACTGTGTTGGATTCACAATAATAACAAGAAAAAACACATAAAACACATATGATTTCATGTGTATTAGTCTTAGTGTTCTTAATTTTCTTATTGGCTTAATCATGATCATGTAGGAAAGAGATTCTTGTATTGGAATGGAATAGAACCAAGGTTGTGTCTCACAGAAACTGCACTGATAAAGGAATTTCTGTCAAAGTACAACTCCATATCTGGAAAATCATGGCAACAACAACAAGGTACCAAACATTTCATTGGGAAAGGGTTGTTGATGGCCAATGGTAAAGATTGGCAGTACCAACGTCACATGGTTGCCCCAGCGTTCATGGGAGAGAGACTTAAGGTATATATGTTTGCTGTTTATACTAATTAACTAGTGACAGATTGGTAATTAATTATTTTTTCAGTAGATTCAATTTTATTTTGAAGTTATCACTAGAAATTTTAGAAATACATTTTTTAATATATTCATTCAAAATATATTTTATGATCATTAGTTGAAAGTGTTGGAAATATCAATTCTAAAATTTCAGCAATAGTTTCAATGAGTGATTTTGAGATTAAGTGGACTGTTGTGAATATTGGTATAAGTGTGTATTGACAATTTTCTTGAGTCTTTTAGAATGGTAAGAAACAATTGAGGTTGATTATAGAGATTAGTTATAATCCTTCAATATTATTGTAAATAGGTCATTGGTTAACCAAATAAAAGAGAAGTGAAAGAGTATCTCTTAATTTGAAGTGTTTATCGGTTTTTATAACAAGATGGAGATTTGGATATGTGAGGTTTGGATAAGAAAAACAATATCAAAATCAAAGTATATAATGAAAATTGTCTTCAATCTCAAATACACGTCTTTTTTAGCTAAGTAATTAAGTCTTTTTTATCACTAATATGACCAAGTCTTTGATGTCACAAAGATGTCTCCTTATACATATCATTCACATTATTCTTAGCAATCAAAACTTTAGTGTCGAGTTCACTCATTCCTAGTTATGCAGTATTCTTCACCACTCTTGGTATCCTTATACACTCTCGGTATCTTCCTGATACATTGTCTAGTTGAATTTCACTCACTCCTCGTTTTCACTAGACAAACCTATCTAACTACTGTTTAACTCCACCAAGTTAAATGTCAGAGTTTCACCCACTCCTAGTTTTCACTAGACACACCCATCTAGCTACCATTTAACTCTGCAAAGTTAAACGTAAAATGCTTTAATTCTCTTCACAATTTACAATCAAAAGATTGATTATAAGTCCTTAAACGATAATTCTCGCAGAGAAGATATATGTGCAATACAATTCAATCTAACAAATTCACTGAATATTTTCTCTTCTCTCTTCTTACAATAGTAAGCTTATATATCAATGAAGCTTGAGAGTGTTTCTCTTCTTAAGCTTTTCTCTTTCAGATATTTTCTTTTGAGTTTGTGTGCTTTTGAGCTTTTTCTAGACGTTGTTTGCTTGAGTCTTTTCTTTCTATATGTTATTCCCTTGATTCTCTTTTTGAATGATGTTTTATTTAAAGGCTTTTCAAAAAGATATCCGTTAGAAAAAGTTTTGCTTTGATGTTGAGTCTTTCTAGTTTTACTGTATGTAGTAACCATTGGTTAAAGTCAACTTGTCAGAGCAGACTTTCTTTTTCAGTACTTTGATAAAAGTAGGCAACAAGATTTTTCTAGCATGACTTTTGATGAGGACAACATTTTGTGAATGTGTCTTCTTTGTTTCTAGCATCCATTTCTGATTTGTATAGGATGAAGCATGTGGATGCGTGTAGTGGACAATCTACACAAAATAGAGTAGATATGCATGCAACAAATATGTCATTTCTCTTATCACTTTTGTTGTTTTTAAACGACGACCATTTAATGACATTTAATGCTTGTTCCAAATAACAAAGTGTTTTTTACGTTTTCTACCGTTCAGGTAAGATTTGATTGTTTTAGCTTTTCACTAAGATACCAAACAATTGATGAAGACTTCATCGTTGGATGAAGTAGATCATTTAACACATGGTATTGTCTAACTTATGTAAGCGCTTCTTAAAGTTTTTCTTTGTTATATTCAAAAATGTGTTTAGCAAGGTGTCTTTCAACTCAAATTTTTAGAATATCATATGAGACTTTTAACGTGCTTTTCAAAAACATCGTTTGAAACTTTTATCTATCAAGATATATTGAGAGTTTGTTTGATCATCACCTAGCAATGTATAACATTTGTTGCATTCAACAAGACTCTTATTGACGCATTAATTAGAGAAACCATTTGGTGGTGCGTCTGCTCATACCTAGTTGTTTTTACTAAGCTTTCCTTAAGTTGTTTAGGTTTTTCAGAGCATTTTCACAAACCAATTATATTTGGCTATATTTTTATTCTAATGATAACACTGTCACATGCTCATTTCGTTTAATATTGTTTATTAAACTTCAAAACATATGAGAGCGTTTAGACTGTTCATTCTTATAGACGGTTTTGTCTAAACATAACTCTTTCGTTGGTGTAACATACATTGTAGCACCATTATTAATTATCCACATACTCTCATCTAATAAGATTGATAGATAAATAATCATGAAGCAAAATAAAATCACTACATGTAGTAGTAGTAACATGATCATCATCATGATCCTTTTCTTTCTACTTTCACTTGCTTTTGTTTTCCTTTTTTCATAGAAAAAATTATTTTAGATATGTTCAGGTTTCTTATAGTATTAGCACCTCGAGTTATTGTATGTTGACTTGGACATTATCTTGCTATTCTCTTTACCATTCTTTGGTTCCTTTTCCTAACACCCTATTTTAGGTGACAAAAACCTCATTCTTTATTAAGTGCTTCACTCTTTGTCATTTGGAGAGAAACATTGCCACTAGGGACGTTGTTTGTAATTGAACCTCAAAAAATATCCCAAGACTTAGGTAAAGCATTTAGTACCTATAGTCCCAAAATTTCATCATCAAAATTGATACTTACTCCTGATAGTTGATTTAAGAACACTTAAAACTCATGTGAATGATATGAAATAGTGGAAGAATTCTCCAGATACCTCAAATTTAACAAGTAATTCAACAAATACAAATAATTATGTCCTAACATAGAAGAATATAAGGATTCAATCTTTCGCCACAAAGTTCTAGAATGTATCCTAATAATAATGTGATTATAACTATTGTCTTCTACATATTGTTAAATAAAACCTTCATGTTCAAAGTTTCATTCATCAAGCATAGAATATGACTTTTGAGTAGTAAAGATTGAAAATGCACTTTCTTCACAACCAACAAGACTTTCGTCTTACCCATCTACAAATGATAATTTGTAACCATTTAAAGTAACCATATTTATATTTGTCTAGGATCGACCTTGTGAAAATGATAAGTACGATAGATTAGTCTATTTATTTAAATATGAAAAAAATATAAATACTAGACTCACTTGATATCTTAATAAGTTAATAATCTCAAATTGTAACTATAAGTTGGGTAAGATTTAAGCATGTGATATACAATTTACTCATTTTTGCGTATAAAAAACTACATTGTGATTGTATTTTACTACTTCAAATCGGGTCCAATAAGTGTGAACAGGTTCTTTCTTAAAGTTGTCATGTTACCTATTTAAAATTAAGGATGTTAACTTATTTGCAAACCTTATATAAAATAAGCATCTAAATAGAACAATAGACCAAATCACGTTTATAAAAAGGTTAGCTCTTGAGTAAAAGCAGAAGAAAAAAAGTCTTTTATAAATAATAGGGTAAATTAAACCTTAATTTTATAAAACAGATAAATTTGTGTATTTCACTTATTTTATTGTGTTCATGCTTGTGTTTGTTCTGTCATTTATCGTTTCAAGTGTGACATATTTAGAATAGAAATTTATTAAAAACTATAAAACTGTGATGGTGAGTGGCAGAAAATTTAAAGGTTTTTAATAAATTTTAACTCATAATGCACATGATGAGTTCTTAACAATAAATTAAGAAATGGTTGGAATTAAAATGATGAAGGACATTTAATGTATAGGGCTATGCTGGGCACATGGTGGAATGTACAAAGGATATGCTTCAATCATTGCAAAATTCATTAGAAAGTGGGCAAAGTGAGTTGGAGATTGGAGAGTATTTAACTGAACTCACTGCAGATATTATCTCAAGAACTGAGTTTGGCTCAAGCTATAAAAAGGGAAAGCAACTTTTCTTTCTCCTCACACAGCTTCAGACTCGTTGTGCTCAAGCAACTCGCCATCTTTTCCTTCCTGGAAGCAGGTATATGAAAGAGTGTTTAGAATTTTTAATATGCCAACCATACAAGGTGAGAATGTCATTTGCTTTTTTACCAAACATACAGGAATAAGCTAAAGAATATATCATATAATTAATGTTAAAGAGAAAGATAGTTAACTAGTGAAAATATGATTGCACAAAAATGGTAAAGCTTTTATTAGGGGTAAATTTTAAACATGATTAAAATTGATTTCTAATGTAAAATTTGC